CACGATCATCACATGAACTGCAGGCATCTTCGAGTCTTTCTCGGCGGAACACCATCTGAGCCATTGACTGGGCAACCGATCCACGGTACTTGCTTGCAGCTTCAACTGATGCCGCAAGTCTTTGTCTGTACCTTGTGATCGGAATGTCCCTCCATGTCATCGCAGCTCCTTCTCTCAACAGTCTTCGGTACCTTTTCCTTGCTTCTGCTCGAGTTGCATCTGGCAATCCAACATTCGGTACTTCGACTTCTCCCGGTATCGGTTCATCGTCCGAGACTGCCGTCAACATGGCAAGCTCGAGATAGCCGGTTTCGGCTTCTCTTTCAGGTTCCTGATGTTCACCCTGTTGTTCCATGCTGCTGATTTGTTTCCCTTTTCCTTTGGATTTTCCTCCTTTACCTTTACCTTTGTTGTTGTTGCTGTTGTTGGGAGGTGACCTGCAATCCTTCTGGTAATGTCCAGCCTTTCCGCAGTTGAAGCAAACCACGGACAGGCTTGAGCCAGAATTGCCACCATGTTTTCCATGTTTTCCACTCAACTTACCTTTTCCTTTATCTTTGGCCTTGCCTTTGCCTCCATGTTTGCCTTTACCTTTGGAACCCTTTCCACCCTGCTTTCGGCGTGGGCACGGCTAGTCCAGTGGATGACCTGAAGGATAAGAGCGCACAGATTTATTCTGTGTTGCAGAATCTGCTTGAGGGAGAACCGTTCATGATTTTGAGGAATACAGAAAAGGCCAATGGACTCGAGGCCTGGCGACGTATCAATCGCCGATACGATCCCTCTACTGGTGCCAAGAAATCAGCACTCTTGAGGCACATCTTGAATCCAGGAAAATGCAAACTTGAGGAACTCAGTGAAAGGATTGAAGGATGGATGGAACTTGTGAACCGCTACGAGAGCAGAAAGGACAGCGCAGGAAACAGACAGAGCATAGCTCAGGACATCAAGATGTCGATTTTGGAGTCCATGCGCCCTCCAGAAGTCGAACGACACCTACAACTTAATAGAAGTCGTTTCTTGGACTTCGATGACATGCATGCCGAACTCGCCAGCTACCTTGAAACGCGAGTTGGAGTGAAGCTCAAAATCGAGTCACTTGGCAGCAAACCGAAAGGTGAAGATGACATGGACATTGGAGGGTTTGGCAAAGGTAAGGGCAAGACTTGGGCCCGAGCTTCCGTCACAGTGTTTTCCTGTTCTTCACACCAATTCAGTGCTTGCTCCATCTCCGGGAACACTGAAAACATGAATGACTCTGTCTTAATTCTCCATCTGAGGTAGCTTTCACTCTCTTTACCACTGAACTTATCCGGCTTTCCGATTCCTCTGTTGTCCACTAGGTTGATTTTCTTTTCGTCTTTCTTCATTGCGTTTGCGACTTCTGTCTGTGCTGTTGCTAGTGCTTGAATTGCGGGTCCCATCTGTGCTCCTGCCGCTTCCAATCCTTGCATGCGGCCTTCTAACAGAGCGTTCCTTTCTTGGCTTTGTTGGAGCAACTGTCCAAGCTGATTCACTCGATCCGCCAACTGAGCTAACTGCTCTTCCGGGGTAGCCATTGGTATCACTTACCCAAGGAGCCCTTTACCGGAGCCAGTGCTCCGCTACCACTTTCACAAAATATGCACAGCAAACAGCACACTCAACTATTTTACCCTTGAGCCAAAATGTATGTACAACACAGTGGTTGTGTGACATTTTTATGGAGGTGTAAATTTCAACACATAGACATGTATTTCATATCTATATATGTGGTTTTATATGTATATTACATAATATATACATGTTGTATATATATATACATACATATATACATACATATACATATACATATATATATTATACATATTATATTTACACATGTACACCTCTATAAATCAAAAAGTCCAAACCCCTGATCTTCACTGGTGCACCAATCACTTGGCTCTGCGACACATGCCGCGGCTTCCGGGTGAGCAGCTTGCCGGTATCGACCTGCAACCGCTGCGCAACGCGAAGTGTTTTGGCGAAAAAAACGTGGAACAACTCACTTGACATGGTTCTTAATGGTTAACAATTATTAATAGGTATTTATGATAATTACTTATAATATGTTGGCAAATATTTATCATGAATGGTTATTAATGGTTAAGTATCGTTAAGTATTAATGGTTAATAATCATTAACAATGGTTGTATATTGGCTATTACTGGTAATTATATAGGCATTGTAGACCCAATATTAATCATGTTCAACTACTATTCAGACGTATAAATCATTCATGGCTATAGTATCGTGTAATTAACCATTAACCATTGTTAATCTGTTAATGATAACCATGAACCGCTCTAATTCAGCATTATATAACCAAGTATTATACAACCGTTATAAAACCATGATATAACCATTATACAACCATTATATAACCATTATATAACCATTATATAACCATTGTTGGTTATATGTATATAATTGTATATAATGGTTATATGACGGGTTAATGGTTAATAATCGCTTATTATTGGCTTTTATCAGCGTGAATGATAGTTGGGCCGCAGTGATCCGATAGTTATATCATAATTAATGCTTAAATCATTAGCAATGATAATTAATGGTTATATCATAATATTCCTCAATATTCAGAATTAATGTATGGTTATTATCAATCTCAATATGGTTATATCATATTTGTGGATTAAGAATTGTCAATGGCCAATAATGGTGAATAATTGTTGACAATAGTTAATGTGGTAAACCCAATAATAAACCTGCCATGACTGGGGATGGTTTTGTTGACCAGCCATAAATTTATGGTGAGTAAAAATGGATGCGCATTACTATTAGACGAAACCGGGTTTACCACATGAAAATTATGCTTTTCATACTTATTGATAATTGATCATAAGTGTTCATAGGTGTTTTTCTAGTGCAGAACATATTGATGGTCATGGTACGGTTCTTAATGGCAAATGATGCTGTTTTTCTAATGCAGAACATATTGATGCTATGGTTCTGGCAAATGATGCCTGAAAGCCATCCATATTCAATAGATGAAGACTACCACCCAATGTTTGGAAGAGTCATGAATCCAAAACAATTGGGAACAGGATTGCGATTGGGACGTATGAAAAATATTTTTTTAAAGAAAAAAGGGCATTCCTATACCCTCAGCTCATCAAACGTGGAAAATCACCCAGTTCCAGACGATTTCCCCCATGTTCCATGGTTAATCTTTAGTATTTGCTGGTTATGGCTCTCCATTTATAGATTAATTATCACAAAAAAGGTTTTCACTACCATCTACAAGTTCCAACCCGGAACATTCCCCAACAAAGTGGAGCTGGTTTTCAACACGCGACCTGCCTCCTCATGCTCAGTGGAGCGTCGTCCATATTGCACTGCCTTGGCCGGGGCTGGGATACCACGGATCTATGACTTTCCACTGCTAGAACCAATCCTTTTTTAGTGGCTGTTTGGGTGGCAATTTTGCGGACAAACTCAATTGCTGGATATCCCAAAAATCCCAAAACAAGGCCCTTCTGCCTGATTTCTATTGTTTCTGCTTCAGCTTTCACATGCAGCAATCTGGAGGACACTGATTTCCAACCAATCTTTCAACTCAAAACTACTGTAAATCATTGAGTCATCGCTTGAGGTCGAAGATCCTCAAAATCTTCGGGTTTTTTTCCGCATCGCCCCACATCAACATATTTATTTTCAGGGACCCCAACTTTGAGAAGCACCCATATCCAACAAAAGGAACGTCAAGGGGTCAAGTTCCCTGATCATCCGGAAAAAAAAAGTAAAAAAAACGATGAATCCCAGAATTGGTCGGAAAATCTACAGGAAAAACCCAGTCAGACTGAGTGATAAACCCAACCAGCCAGTTCCATCTCGGTATCCCCGCAGAGTTGGGGCGTTGTTTCGCCAGTGCCATCAGGTCATGGGGCCGGTTTTTGGTACCACTTTGCCAGCGGTGTTGATGCGTAGTGTTTACAAATGACTGGGGATAAAACAAGTGCCATCTTTCTTAACAGCAACACATTGCAACGGAGGAAGTGTTTGAACCATACTTGAAGACTCTTTTAGAGTATTGAAATTCCACTAGAATTTGAAGATCTTGAAGTTGAAAGTGTGGCAATCACTTCCAAAATCTCAACTGAAACCTTTCAAAGTTGCTTCGCTGTCAACTGGAGACCGGAACGCCCCTTCAGCTTTGAAAGGGGGGTCTATCGCTCGCCTTTTGGAGCCTGGGGACCTGATCTTCAAGTCACTGCGGCGTGGGATGCATCGGTAAAGGCTGGATCCCCAAAAAGATTCAGACCGTTTTTGGCAGAAATCATCCAATGTTTCTGGAAATTCATATTGTAAACTAACATAACTATGGAAATTCATATTAATCATCCAATCATTTTTCAGGGTGTTTTTAGGTTGTTTGTTTCAGGTAGATAAGGTCAGTTGACACCGTGTGGGTTCCAAAACCAATCAGAATACTGACTCGGGATGGACCAATCGCCTTGCTGCAGGGCACGAGCAGAATCTAAAATCATCATTGGTTTCGTCCAAAGGATATATCTGGATACCCCAAAATCCAGTGGTTTAAAAGTATAAAACTTAAAGTTCCTCATGAAATTTGCCGAGAAAGGTATCCCCAGACCCAGCGATTTTCGTTGTCAGTTGTGGGCCCTTAATCAAAACGTACCGGCAGCGAATTTACTCCAATTATGTTGGGTTTCATCATCACCTGTCATGACAACCCTGGATGGTTTCTTCAATTGCGGATGTACCAATTGAGTAGCAGATGATCACTACTTGGGTGTAAGTCTATATAATTCCCCTAATTCATCAACCAGGGTGTAAGTCTAGTTGGAAACATGTTGAAACCACGGAGTCTGGCCGTCTTTGCTGCCGCTGGGACAGAAACCAATCTATTTGCGTTTTGCTGTGAAACCATACCATCTGGACATCTGGCCAATTACCAGTTGCGGTTCACCAATCGCTTCTTTGATGTTCTGACATGACTTGCCGCCAATCTTGGCACGTGGAGCATATCCAATTGCCAAGTTTTGGAAGTGGCTCCGCACCGCTGGTCATAGTCCAAATGATGAAACTTCAGGCGCCGCCATCAGCCACGCAAAAGGCGGTCTCTATCTACAAAAGCTGTTGGCGTTACCATTGGCGCAAGTTTCAATGGCGTAGGTTCAGGAAAAGTTGGCAAGAAACAGTGTTTTTGCCCCTACCTGCCAGGTGAGGGTCTCTGGGTTGTACCAGAGTTCCTTGCCTCCTTCTCCTTCCTCCTCCTTCCTCCTTCCAGCTACAGATCTCAATTGGGCTCTGCCAAACCTCAACCGCGAGCTCCAGATCTCAGTGGGCACTGCCGGACCTCAACCGCGAGCTCCAGATCAGTGGGCGCTGCCAGACCTCAACCGTGAGCGCCAGATCTCAGTGGGCACTGCCGGACCTCAACCGCGAGCTCCAGATCAGTGGGCACTGCCAGACCTCAACCGTGAGCGCCAGATCTCAGTGGGCAGTGCCCATGTCAGAGAGACTGTCAGAATAGATTTCAGATAGAATGCCAAGAATGTCAGATAGAATGCCAGATAAATGCCAGGATAGAATGTCAGAAAAGAATGTCAGAATAGATGCCAGATAGAACATCAGAAAGAATGCCAGATAGAATGCCAGAGAAAATTTCAGAATAGATTCCAGAAAGGATGCCAGATAGGATGTCAGAAAAGATGCCAGATAGAATGCCAGAATACAATGTCAGAAAAGAATGTCAGATAGAATGCCAGAATAGAATCTCAGAAAAGAATGTCAGATAGAATGCCAGAATAGAATGTTGCAAAAAAAATATGCCATATAATATATATATATATACACACTTCCAGATGAGATGTCAGAAACTATAATAATTTGTCACGGTGGGGATCACTATATCTATACTATGTGTACATATTATCTATGTATGTTTTGCATAATATATATATGTGTATATATGTATATATATATGTATATATATATATGTGTGTGTACGTGTGCATACATATCCAGAAACGGCGGGTGTGTGTCTGTGTGTGTCAATTGTCTCTCCAGTGGCAAAACTTGACCAAATCGTAGTTTCTTGCACCCGAAGATGAATCAAGGAGAGTACAGCATGGGATGTTGACTCAGTTGCGAATACTAAAGTTACTAGCCCAGGCTGTGAATCAAACGTCAAGGGAGGCCAACGTGAGACATATTGGAACAAATGGCAGGGGACAAACCACAATAGTCGTCCAACGTGGTGATGTTGCTATGCAGCACGGCATAGATGTAGCCTGGACACCATCTGGGGGATTCTCCAGTGCCACCTTTGATTACTGGAGGGTCAAGAAGGGTTTCGTTCCCTACCATTGAAAGCACATCAACCATCATTTAGGGGTCTCACAATTTCACAAGCTTCAACCCTGGTCCATATCCTTTATTTGCAGGTTCATATCCCATTTGGATGTTCGTACCTCTGCATGTTTAAAGGGTCATATTCTAGTTTCGTATGAGTAGAGGACTCGTTTTAACCCGGCATGGTGATTTAAGTCTTACACCCAATGTCCAATGGTATATCCCCATGCTCGTTGGTCTAGTTTATGGTCGAGCCAGCCCCAAAAAAATATGTAAAAGTCAGTGGGGATACTTTTTGTCGAATAGGCTGAATTCTGAATGAAACAGAACAAGTTACATTGAAACCACCAAACAGCAATTTACAATCATGGTTATATCCCCAAATTGATTATATTCCCATGTTTCTTCGTTATATCCACAATGCTTACTGGAAGCAACCGTCATCCATTATATCAATTGAATACCAGTTTGCTGGTTATATATTCTATTAAGTTGTCTATTTTGCAGTTGGTGAAATCTTCCATTGTTGATTTTTAGGGTCTATTCCTGTGCTTGCTCCAATACCATGTGATTCCTGTAAAAAATCTCTGCTCAATGGTGTATCCCCATGTTTATTGGTTATATCCCCAATGTCTACTGGCAAAAAAACAACTTTGTGAATATCAGTTCTTTTACCCATAAATATTCCCATTATATCTGGTTGGTGGTATACCTACCCCTCTGAAAAATATGCTCGTCAGTTAGGATTATGACATTCCCAACTGAATGGAAAGTCATTCAAAATTCCATGGTTCCAAACCACCAACCAGATTATGGTTATAAATGTTCTACATATGGGGATGTCCTGAAAAAAGGCCGAAAGACCCCAGGATGGAGGCTTTCCCAATATATGGTTGGTTGTATCATCATCCCTAAAAAACGTCCCCCACTTTCGGACCGGTTACAATCCCATCCTTTTGCTGCGAGCGTCCATAGAGGCAATTCTCGTTCAAGTGCGCCAGGACGCCGCCGAAGGGCGACAGTTCTTCCAACTCTTCGTTGATCCCTGTGGTCGCAGAGGGCCAATTTTGGCCCCTTTATTTCGGGGGGAACACATGACAGTTTTCATCAGCAAAATGGTGGTTTAACCGAGAAAAGTGGTGGTTTCACTCATTAAAGTGGTGGCTTCACCAATAAAAATGGCGGTTTATCGCCAGCCAAAATGGCAACCAGCCAACATGGCGGTTTCATCGGCAAAAATGACGCTTCTCTCGGGAAAAACACCACGGAACCTGGTGGAAAAAATCACCAAGATTTTCCCAAAATGGGTTTGTCTGAATGGGTATGGTTTGATCGGCATGTTTCCCCTATTACAATTGGAATGTTGGGGATACTCCCCTTTTTGGACAAGCCTATAAATATATATATATATGTATTAATATGCATATGTATATGTATTAATATGCATATGTATATGTAGAAGTAGATATAGAGATATAGAGATATAGAGATATAGAGATATAGAGAGATAGAGAGATAGAGAGATAGAAAGATAGAGAGATAGATAGACAGACAGACAGACAGACAAATAGATAGAGAGATAGATAGATAGATAGACAGACAGATAGATAGATAGATAGAGAGAGAGATAGAGAGAGATAGATAGAGATAGAGATAGAGATAGAGATAGAGATAGAGATAGAGATAGAGATAGAGATAGAGATAGATAGATAGATAGATAGATATAGAGATAGATAGATATAGAGATAGATAGATATAGAGATAGATATAGATATAGATATAGAGATAGATATAGATATAGAGATAGATATAGATATAGAGATAGATATAGATATAGAGATAGATAGATATAGAGATAGATAGATATAGAGATAGATAGATATAGAGATAGATAGAGATAGATAGATATAGAGATAGATAGATATAGAGATAGATAGATATAGAGATAGATAGATATAGAGATAGATAGATATAGAGATAGATAGATATAGAGATAGATAGATATAGAGATAGATAGATATAGAGATAGATAGATATAGAGATAGATAGATAGATAGATAGATAGATAGATAGATAGATAGATAGATAGATAGATAGATAGATAGATAGATAGATAGATAGATAGAGATAGATAGATAGATAGATAGATAGAGAGATAGATAGATAGAGAGATAGATAGATAGATAGATAGAGAGATAGATAGATAGATAGAGAGAGCGAGATAGATAGATAGATAGATAGGTAGTTAGATAGATAGATAGATTAGATAGATTAGATAGATTAGATTAGACTAGATTGGATTAGATTAGATTAGATTAGATTTAGATTTAGATTAGATTAGATTAGATAGATAGGTAGGTAGGTAGATAGATAGACAGATAGATAGCTAGCCAGCTAGATAGATAGATAGATAGACATATATATTTATCTACCCACAAAACCACTGTCCCGCTGTTGCTTCAAATGCCAACGTTTTTTCGTGGCGCGAAAGTGCCATTTTTGTCATTGGGGGATGCGACAGACTGAACCCGGCTGCTGGATTCCCCAGGTGAAAAAGAACGGTCGCATCAAGCCGTTGAGGCGACGGCGAGACAGTAGATTTGCGTTACATATATATATATATATATATTTATTTATATATATATGATTATATATAAGTACACCTGTGCCTATACCTCTTATACAAACCAAACAAATCAATGCTCAGTGGGATATGAATATGTTTCCATTAAACTAACTACATCCAAAATAAATAAATCCCATATCCAACCATTCGACAAGATTTCCCAGGTATGTTTGCTCCTTATTTCATGCTGGTTCAATCCATTATCCTGGGGCATGTGCTGTTCACATCCGAGCTACCTTTCACGCGGCTTGGAATGAGCACCTCGCTCTGAGGGCATACATGCGCCCATTGATTGCCTCATGTGGAACCACCAAAAAGCGGCAGTCTCCCTTTTCTGTGGGGATTCAACCAACATCCAATCAGGTCCATGGAAGAGGTACCCCCAAAATTCCACCAATCAGGTAGGCTCCCCGGCTCCCCAGTAGGGTTTTTCGGCACCTGGCACCTTTCTAATGGGTCAAAAGGAACCCGAAAATGTCACCTGCTCGGGTGTCAGCTCCATGGCTTGCTGGAAAATTGCCCATGTCGTTGACTTTTCCAGCAAAACCTCCATCAAATTGACTTCGGGGATTTCTTGCCGAGCTGATGATACAGGAGGGCATTATCCCCATTTCCTGCATTGACGAGTTCGCTAGTCTTTTTTACCCCAACAGTTAAGCCAACAGCATTCACCAAGTGATGTACTGTACTATCAACTTCATGATTTAGTTAAATCACCTATAAATCCCATGAAGTCCCTGTTATTCTTGGTTAAATCACCATGTTTCTTTCTGTTTTTCTTATGCTACACGGGCATAAAGCCGCCCATGGAATCAGCCCATTTGCCATCCCCAATCGTAGTGGTTTTTGAAATGTCGTTATGCCCAAACGAACATCCCCAATTGAGGTTTATTATTGGCTACTGTATACCCGTAGCTGGGATATTGTTTTCATTGACCCTCAAATGCTAGAAAAATGTAGAAAATAGCCCCCCCTCAATGGTGATATTCCTTGGAGGTGGTCTTAGGATCCAACGTTACCAGTAAACTATGACGTATCTGCGAAGAAATCAGATAATCAGTGGTCATTGACCTGTGCAACAACCAGAATAAAAAACAAATGTTCAGGTGTCTTCGCAGATAGAATCACCATTTTTTTCATAGGCAAATCATCGATGTTTCTGGGAGTAGAAATTGAACATCCAACCCATAGCACCATTTCCCATCTTCCATCGGTCAAGCAGGGATGGCCCCGCTCCAATTCCCGGCTACGACAAACGCCCTGGAAAATTCCAAGTACTTCACCATAGTTTACCAAATATCTAGCCATATCCAGTTGAGAAAAAATGTGGCTGTCCATTTTTATGGGAGTATGTACCCCATTTTTGGTTGGTTTAGAATGGAAAATCCCCATGAAAACCATGAAAAACACATATTTTTGGTTGGAGAATGGAAAATTCCCATGAAAAAATGGATGATTTCGAGGTACCCCAGTGGGAAACCTCCATTGAAACCTGGCGAACCATCGCCCAGATACTGATCTCCATCTCCGAAGGGTCCGGGGCCGAGCCTGTGATGGTTTTTTGGTCGTGTAGTATATTAAAATTGTATATTGATAGTATATTCATAATATATTTGTAGTATAGAAATAGATTTTCTTCATAGATATTATGAAGGATGTTTACAGAAAAGATTTCTATGCATAGTATAAACTTTTTAACAGTACATACATATCCAGATGGTATTTATAGCGCATTTGTATGTATTTATACAAATATGTGTGTACTAATTTGTGTATCATCATTGTGGGATGCTTATATTGACAGAGATTCCATGTATCGTTCTATAGTGTCTATCAATGCACATATAGGTGTACTTCTCATTGACCAGCTTCTTACTCAATATATTTGAGGGGGAATGACATTGTACTTAAATCTAACATCCTTACAGTATATGTTCCTAGAAATGCAGAAACACTCAAATATGAGTCGTCACTCGGGGGTCTCAGGAACTTTGAGAGAAAAGTCGATGCTTGAGATGACTTTTGGGAAACAGTTCTTCTTTCAGTATTCAGAAACCCTCAACATCCCAAACAACACTGAACACTTTGAAACCCTCAACTTTTGAAAAACCTGAACCTTTGGAAGTCCCTGGGAGATTTTTTCACCAACGAAACTGTCCAAACTATCGGAGCCCCTCCGCCAGGGATCCGATGATATTTCCCGACTGGCTGATGCAACTCAAAGGTGATACAACCTGGTTCTCCGCGGGGCGCCGGAGCAGGGCTCCGCAAAAAAGGTGGTTAAACAAATGGTGTTATCCAATGTTAAACGATCATACCTAGCCATAAATATCATAGTCATCCGCTATTTATGGCTACTTACAGGCTATTAAAAGGCAGTATCCCATGTTATACATCCCAAAGATGGGGCTTAGTTCATCCCAGGAAGTCAAAATCCCAAGATCAACTCTGGCCTCCGCCAAGATATGCCAAGATATTTTTTGGGGTCACACCAAAACCAGGGGACATATTGCATGCGTTAATAACTATGAATATGTATAAAAATAAATATGTATATATATAAGATTTCGACGCAGGCACACTCAAACTTAAATGTCATATATGTGCACAGATATATACAGTGCATACATGTTGAAAATGTTCTTGAACTTCAACCTGAATTCACCAGTTGTCATATCTTCAAGTCTATAAAATTTTCCACAGAGTCCATCCGTGAGTTCTTCGGAATCCATTCGTCATATCGCGCAACGCAATCGTAGACATCGCTGACCGCACTGAATGCATTCCACATCTTGTGAAACGGCATGACCTCGAGCGAAAAATGGCATCCATGACTTGGTGGAAATCACGAGATTCACGGCTGCGAAAAATATCAATATATAGATAGATAGATACTGGTTGGTGTTATACCTACCCCTCTGAAAAATATGAAAGTCAGTTGGTATGATGATTCCCAATATATGGAAAAATAAAAAAATGTTCCAAACCACCAATCAGGATATATTGTATAGATACATAGATCTGGGTAAATTATAATAGTTCACTAACCTGAATAGTTCGGCCATTTGGGGATGATTCCCCTAAAATAAACCATGATTTCCAGGGTTCGGGAGAAGAGTGAGGTCGCTATAATTTATCCAGATAGATATATACAGATATATACAGAATTATACAGATATAATCCCATCCCCCTAGTATTATATCTCCATGAGTGCGCCCCGCCAAACGAACAGATCTCATTCCACCAGGGCGTCGTTTGGGTCTTTAAGATTGGCACTTGCAGCCCTACAAGGTGTTTTTTTTTGCTAGAGTAATTCTTGGGTTTATGATGACTAAATTGTCATCATGGTTACTAGATTACAACCATTAACAACCATAACCATGATAACAATTGGTTAATGACCATGATGACTAAATAACAAAATTATTAACCAATTGTCATGGGTATGGCTGTTAATGGTTGTTTGGATGGGTTATAATGATCATGATCAACCAACTGGTTGTTATCTTGTTTAATGGTTGTGACTGGGTTTCAACCAACAAAGATTTCAACCAACGTGACTGGGGGATCCCAACATGTGGGCCTTCACGTCCAACTGGTGATTTGTTCGTCAAAAAAATTGGCAAAATGTTGCCTTATTCTAGGCATGTTTAGACAGATTCACTGATTTGGGGTGATCAAAAAATTGGCACTCACGGCAACCTACTTTTTGTTGGGGGTCTCCTTGCATTCTCACCATGGAATGATGCAGAAGAACCCCAGCTTGCTTTCCCTGAAAGTTGGGGTGCTGCCCAGCCGCGTGCACCAAATCGTTATAGGTATTGATCCGGATCAACTTGTCACAAAGTGCCTGGCTGTCGCACAGAAACCAACCTGGATTTTTTTTTGGTGAGTTCGAGGCAGAGATCATGTGTCCACGTCCATATCCATATCTATATACATACAATGTGAGGCCCCCCAGTGATGTGAATGTTGGTTAACAGATTCGCCCCAGTAACTAGTTCGTTATAAATGCCATAAACCATAGTGAAATGGGACTTATAAACGCACCAACTGAACGCTATAGTAAACGGGGGCCTCACTAATTGTATCTGTTAATTGGAATCTGGCACAGCGAAGCCAGTTATAGTGGCATCTTAAGATCCAGTTATAGTTATGTCCAACTAAGCTACAATTAGTGAGGCCCCCGTTCGATAGCGTTCAGTTGGTGCAAATAAGTCCCATTTCACTATGGTTTATGGCATTTATAACTATAGTTACTGGGGCTTTTGTTAACCAACTTATAACTGGGGGGCCTCACATTGTAAGTTTCCTTGCAAAAACAAATCAGAAGAAAAAATGCCAAGACTGGCTCGACCGACTATCTGTGCAGTGGCCAAACCCCTCATGGGATTGATATCCATTTGCACTCATTATTGTTTGGTGGTGAGTGGTGACCCCTGAATTAATCAGCCGCTTGGTAGGAAAAAGACATCTATGACACATGACCCAAAAAATAATCTTATTTCATGTGTACCCTTCCACCTGCTTTCATGGCTAGAGCTAACGTTGTTTCTGGGAAAAGATTCCTGCATCAGAAAGCCTCAAGAATTACCCATATATAACTCAGATGGTGAAATAATACCAATTCCTGTTAGTAACCCAGCTGGCTGCAGATCACCCAAATACAAAACGCAGTTGCAAAAAACACGGAAGATAAGACATTGTCGGTTCACAATCTGTTCAACGCGAACAAAGCACATATAACTCCCGCAGTCAGTGACTCACCGAAAACATTCGGAAGAAGAAAGTGGGAATTGGAAGTGCTCTTTGTAACCACTACAGTAACAATGGAATGGTTATCTGAGTGCTCAACAACCATTATTATTGGGTTATAACCAATGTGTTATTATAGTGCTCAATAACCCAATGTCTTATTCAATATTCGCGCAGTTGTCTGCCATAACCAGTCAAAAACATGGCTTTGCCCTAAGAGTTGGCACACACCAAAGTCCCCATTATGTCGGCAGTTTCTATGGCAATCTTAATAGGGAAACGAGTTTCTAGCCATTGGATTCTAGGGGTAGCCAATTTTGGGACGAACCCGTGTAGCTTATTTTCCAGCTAGCATCTTGGGGTATACACCATTTTCAAACAAACCCATATCTTTTTGCTGGTTGTTTCTCATGTTGCTTGCTTATAAATCCCCATTTGGGTTTGTCTGAAAATTGGGTACACCCAAATTTGATGGCGCATCATTAGTTTCCCTCTGAAAAGTGCCATAATTGGTGGTACCCCCCGTTTAGACACACCAAGTGTGGATGTTTATACAGATCGCTCAATAACCAACAAATACAACCAATACCAATACTATGTTGAAAACTAGTTCAACTACTACTTTTTTTCCATGTTGGCTAGTTATCCCATGAATTGCTACAGGTTAACAAATAACAAAATATTGCTTCTCCCATAGAACTATCTAGTAACCAATTATCATCAGCTTACATGAAACTTACGAACAATATTGCATGTCAACCTGGTTGATTTCAGTAATTGGGGGAAATCTTTCCAAATAGTGAGAAGATGCTGAAAAATGCTACCACTCGAAAAAAGCCCAGTATGGATGAGAATCTCCAGCAGATTCTGCCTGGGGGGTGGCTCACTCAACCACCAGCCAGATGTATGTATGAGATTGTATAACTGGTTGGTGGTTTGGAACCATGGAATTTTATGACTTTCCATTCAGTTGGGAATGGAATGTCATCACTCCAGCTGACGAACTCATATATTTTTCAGAGGGGTAGGTTGAAACCACCAGCCAGATAAGTATAAGTCATTGTAAATCCCCCATGTTTCATAGTTGAACCTCCTTTGTTGACGGTTGAATCTCAATCTTCTATGGTTATATAAATTCACCGAAAAACCACCCGCCAGAATGAATCAATCATATCCACGCAAGGGTCAAATTTTCTTATATTTGATAGTCTGGTGGGTGGTGCAATAACCATCTTGAACAATATGAAAGTCAATGGGAATGATTATCCCACATATTATGGAAAATAAAAAATGTTCCAAACCACCAACCAGCCTTATATTTGATAGTTGTATCCCCACTTATCACCCCTTTCTTCAGTGTTACTGTTCCGTTGATATTCTCGTTTTTATAGTTAAACCATGTTGAACCCCCCATGCGTGTAAATCCCTACATTCACTATGGTTTGCGGTGGTTGCTTAATGTCAATGCGGGAAGAAATGTTATATCCCCACTTATCACCACCTTCAATGTTCCATTTATATTCCTATTTTTATAGTCAAACCTCGATGTTTGATGGTTAAACCGCTATAGTTGATGGTTTTATCCCTTATCATCCGATGTTTTATTGGCTAGTCCAGTAAATCTCCAATTTTCATAGTTGAACCATGTTGAACTCCCATTTTTGATGCTTAAATCCACCCAAAAACCGCACCTGTTGCTGCCACCAGTCATCCAAGGCCTTGTCCGCCACCCGTGGCACGCCGAAGCCTATCACCGCTTCGGGCCTCAGTCGAAGGTCTGGAAAAATGCTGGGCTTTGGCCAATGAAAAATGGAACAAAGAATGGGAAAATAGCATCAAAATGTATTGTCATTTTCATTTTGTATGTACCATTTTAATGAAAAATATGAAAAATGTTCTTTACAAAGAATGGTAAATTGTATGAAAATGTAAAGAAACATCACCCATAAATGGCAACATGCTGGGTATTTTGCCGGAAAATCATCAAACTATTGGACCATCGCCCATCCGAGCTTTCTGAATACCGATTGACCGATTGGCCGATTGGCACCTCAACATGGAATCATCAGGAAACCCTCGATGTTCATCGTCACAAAATGATGCCAAACTTGCTGCTTGAGGCAGGATCCAAATATATCCAAATGTTCTCAGCTGGATGGGTATGCTCCTCAGCAACATTGAGCAAATGTCATATGAGCCATGGTCAATACTCACTATATGGTTGATGGTCATCCCATCCATAATAAGGATCCTTATAATGGTTATTATAAATCCCTATGAACCATTGGATGACTAGCCCCTATTAATGGTTATTAACCATGAGTATTGACCATAGCTCATATGTGCATGTCTGTTCTTTAGGGAAACCTAGTCATTGAGATATACCCGTTGACCCATCCATCCTGGCCCAAAAACGTCTCGGTGCCGAGGCACTTCCGTGGCCAGTGCTCTGCAAAAGCCTGCAGCGAAGAGAACACGAAATGGTTTGGTTGAAATGTTCAAAAATGGGGCACGGAATCACACGATATTGGGGAGTGTCCAACCCGAATGGAATTCACAAACAAAAAATTGGATACCCTCTGGTAATTTAACATAGCTATTGAAAATCACCATTTTTAATGGGAAAATCCACTACTAATGGCCATTTTCAATAGCTACGTTAAATTACCAGAGGTGCCGACAACACAAGGTGCGGACAGCCCCATGAGTAATTCTCTGTCAGAACAGATTCACAACACCTCTCTGCAGGATGGTGCCCCTCAGTTATAAATTGGTTTATAAACCCCATTAACTATAGTTATATCTGCCATAAACCATAGTTATGGGAGTTATAAACCAACTTAGCTAACTATGGGGCACCACCTTGCACCTTGTAGACATAATATGTCCGAGACTGAAAGACCGTCAAACCTACTGGGGAAACCCTGCTGAAACCCTGCTGAAACGACTATCGCATGGTGAATCCTTTGAGTGATGACCTGACTCATGGCTTTCAAGTTTATGCCTACGGCCCGAAAACCGGCCCAGCGTTTTTGCATTTTTTGCGTTGTGATATGTTGGGGGTGGTGGGGGGTGGGTGAAGGGGGGTAACAACGTTCTTGGTCTTCGTTTTCGTCGACTTACGTTGGACACGTCTTCTGTACTTCGGTGGATGCAATTCATCTTACGTTGGACACGTCTTCTGGCCGCAAGTTGGAAGAGAAAAGAAGTGCCGTCGCTGTGGCGAAACGCATACCCATCCAAAAAATCTAACGGTTTTTGAGGGTATCCAACATAGATTTTTTTAGCTCCCACTGCAATAAAACTGAGATTTTTGGTAGATCCCAGTAGAATTGCAGTAGCAAAGGACACCAAGATGATTGTAGACATGTGGCAAACGCCAGGTTTTGAGAAAGAAACAAAGACTGATCTTTAAAAAATATGAAAAATGCTGGGCCGATTTCCGGGCCGTAAATCGACGTTTCTGCTCAACCCTCGAATCGCTGAGAATGACCTGGAATTACATGGAATAACATGTTTGGAAAAAGTGCCCTCTGGTTATGACTAACATAGCCATGGGAAATGACCCATTTATGGTTTACCTAAATGATCCTAAATACGCGTTCCACTCCCCTACTAAGTTTGTTGTAGGATGTTTTTAATATCATCAAGGGGGAAAGGAATTTTCCATTACAATCCCATGATATCCTATGACATCCCATCAAATCACCATGAAATCCCATTAGATCACCATCAAGTGCCATTAAAATCCCATATACATCCGCCTTAGTGGCTGCCAGCAGCGCCAATGCGCCACCCAAGCTGTGCCCCGTGAAGATCAGTTTCCAATCGCTGGGCACTGCATGGAAGAGACCTGGCACCATCTAAGAGCTCGGGTTTACTTGTGGCAGCTAAGTGGGATGTGATGCAATCATTGAGTATCCATAGATAATGGTAGAAATTGGGGGTTTCCATAAATGGAGAACCCAAAATAGCTGGATGGTTTTTGTTAGGGAAAAGTCTAAAGAAAAATGGATGATAGCTGGGGTACCCCGATGACTTGGGAAACCTCCATGACTCGGGAATTCATGGCACCGGCACCTTTTTTTCGAGCTCGGAACAGCACTTCTGGTAGCGAAATCAAAAATGGGATGAAGTGATATGTTTTTACTGAGTATCCATAGATAATATCTATAGATATCATTATATCACTACTGGTGAGTATCCATAGATTCCATGGGTCTTAGAAACCAAATCATTTGGAACTAATATCTATGTCGTTACTGATATTTTTTGGGCTCTTACCAAGACATAGGGATACATCACCAGCAGAAATTTGTCAAATTAGCCTACAAAGTTATGTGGAATTCGCGGTAGCTAAGTTGGTTGAGCTCAATAGATTAACTAGGATTTATGCTCGGTAGATATATGATATATCTTATAAATATATCTGTAGATAATGATGGTTGCAAACCAGCTTTGATGATGATATTACCCTCCGGTGTCATTAGCTCCATAACTGAGAAATCCTCAAACTTTGAGGGGCATTTAAATGGGAAAATCATCGAACTAAATGAGGGAATTGCCAGTGCAATGGTGAGAAAATCAACACAGTAACCCTCAAAACCATGCAGAACATGTGGGATGTTCCTTTTTGATATGTTTTTTTGGGTGGTGCACTGCACACTTGTTTTTACACCATGAATTCTGGAGATTTCCGCAAATAAGAAACCTTCATTCAATGCTAGGAGTGGTGGAGAGATACTGATGGTGAATAAAATTGCACAATTGCTACCATGGTCTAGTTAGGTTTGATGTTAACACTTACTTGTCACTGCAAGCCTGCCATTGCCATATGCCCCTCGGTTCTCTTTGTTGCTTTTTCTAAATCCCACTACCTAGTCCTAGTTCGTTGTATCTACAATTATCAACATTGAAATATGAAAGTCGAATACTCCAATCATATGAAGTTATGAGTGTGTATATACCATTTGGTTATTTAACAGTTCGCCATGGAAAATCACCATGCTATTAATAGGTAAACCATCTATACATGGGCCATGGCTGCCATGGCTATGTTAAATAACCAGAGGGTAGATGCTATTAGCCCCATGAAGTTGATTGGAGTCTATACACCCAAATATCGTGGGGATTGATGGGGGGATTAGTTACCCTCAAATATGGTGTCATTCGCTGAAAAAAACCCAACCTGATGTCTTCGAACTAGAGATTCGACTGGAAGCGTGAAACAACTCCGGTTGGCAAAAACGAAAAAACGGTGTTTGGTAAGTCTAGAAGGACCAAAACTTATGGATGGCTTTGAATTCTACAGTAGGAAGTAGAGATGCTTCTCTAGTTCGAAACCCTGGTCGAAATTTGTCTTTGTTGAAGCCAATTCTTGGGGCCGGAAAATGAAGCTTGGGATTTCTCACCCAAGATTAAGGACCATCCTTGCAATGAACCAGCTGGGTAGCCCACAATGCAATCAGCACAGGCGGAAGATTGAAAACTCTCAGGCTGACAAGGCTTGGTACCCCCAGTTATCATCCATTTTAATAGGGTTGTCCATGACAAACCATCCAGCTATTGAGGTTCCCCTATTTATAGATGGCGCAAACAGGTCGCCCCAGTCCCGGTACTTCACCAACTTCGGGGCCTAGAATGTAGCCATCCACCCATCGCTTCACATGTGGAAGGATGTGGTCCAAGGCTGTCAAAAAGCCTTCATGCACCAAAGTGATGTTTCCATTGGGCAAAGTCCTGTGGGCTTTAAAAGAGCTGTGACAAAGTGGCCAGTCACCCGGTCGAATCTATGTGTTCTTGGCCGTTCGTCCAATGTGGATCACTTGTTCCATTCAAATACGAAGAAATTCAGGTTTTTTCTCCATCGTGGTCCACGTTTCACCATGGATTGTTGTTGCTCATCCTACTAAGAAATGTGGACTGGAGCGTAGTTTTTTTCTGGTTTTTGTTAACATAGACCCTGGCAGTCATCGAGGTTGGAAGATTAGTGAAATGAATGAACTGTTCAGGGTCTATGAACATTTACCAAAGGGTAGCATGTTATAACCCATTTGTAGATTATAGAAGATATAATGCACGTATGGAACTGACGATCACCAGGGTTATGAAACAGGTTACCTTGGTAATGTTCCAAGTTGGTGCTTCATCCTACGAATCGCAAGTGGGTTATATATTTAGTTCGGTTGGGTAAGCAAGGTTTGTCCACTTATGATTGGGGTTTCAACTTTACTTCGAAGCCGGGTGAACCACCAATTCAGCTGTGTCCAAGCACGTGACAACTGATTACTTCCAAAATAAGAACTGTTTTCCATCCCAACATAAATATACATAAATCACCTCAACACCTTGACGGGACCCTATCTTTTTTCGAAGTATCCATGGAGGATCCAGTTTTTTCGGTCAAAACACCAAGTCGTGGCAAGCAGCGTCTACCGGTCTACCCATCTACATTTAGCGCCCTGCCATCTTGTTTTAATTGGCAGTGTCAAATAACACCTTCGCAAAATAAGCAATCGCTGATTACCCTCTGGTAAACTAACATAGCTATTGAAAATGGTCATTTATAGTGAGTTTTCCCATTAAAAATGGTGATTTTCCATAGCTATGTTAGTTTACCAGGCCGGGTAATATCACATGAATTTCCCATTCATACCCCATTAATTCCCATGAATATCCACACAGACAGGTGATCCACTGGACGTTTTCTACGCCAATCGATCTGTGGGAGGATTGTCAATGAGAAATGCGGTCATTGGATAGTTTTGGTACCAACCAAGCAACCAATTTAAAACACGCTCAACAGCAATTTTTTCTACAGATTTTGAGTAGTGAAATTACCACCTTTTTCTGCATCAAAAGTTGTAAAAAATGGGGAAAAAATCACCCAGATCATCCCGCTGAGGGTGTTTGACAAATTGCTTCAAGGAGCCCCAGCAGCAAGTTGCAGCAAGGTTCAGTAACTTATATAACTTATATAACTGTTGAGTTTGTGGTAGATATATCTAACTAGGTTTTAATATCATTATAATCTCATCATAGAGAATATATCAATATATCAATCTCATCACTATTAATGCAATCGTTGGTTGATAGCTTTCCCTATAACTTATCAGAATCCCCAAGAACCAGCTAGTGGAAAATTGCATTTATATATATATATATCCATATAATGGGATTTTAATGGGATTTCAATGGTTAATATATGGCAATAATGGTAAATATATGGTTAATGATGGTTAATAATAAGCTGGTTGGTGGTTTTTACCATCTTGAAAAATATGAGTTTGTCAGTTGGGATGGATGACATCCCATATATGAAGTGGAAGATAAAAAATGGTCCAAACCACCAACCAGTAACTGTTGGGTTTCTGGTAGATATATCTAACTAGTTAACTCGTTAGATATAAACCAACGAAGATAAGGTGACTGGGGGCACAACCCTCCCAACTACCATCCAACATCATCCAGTTGGGCATTTTGGCGGAGATGATTCATCTGTGGGACTTTCCAGAAAGCCATGTTTGATTACCAGAGGCTCATCGTCACAACCCTTCTCCAATGCTTTCTTTCACCCATAGGAATTCTCTAAATCTCTGTTTCCAAACTGAGCAGTTCCAAAAAAATTGCATCCCAACAGAATCTACCCTCTGGTAAACTAACATAACTATGGAAAATCACCATTTTCAATGGGAAAATCCACTATCAATCACCATTTTCAATAGCTATGTTAAATTACCAGAGGGTACCAGTATTCCCATGTCCGAAATGCCCAGCGTCATGGGAATTCGCTGAATATCCGCATCCACATGCCAGTTCTTAGCCGATTCGAACTGTGTGCCGCGGAAGGCCACGATGGCCAGTTTCCGGCGACTGGATTTGAAGACACGCGCGTGGATGTTCCTTAGCTCCGTGCAAATGTGGTGAAAATGCTTGGTGTTTCACCATGAAAAATGAGAATTTTGCCAACAATGGGAAAATTCATGAAAAAAATATATGGGAGAATCATCTATAAATTTCATGATGTTTGAAACTGTTGGGGTGATTCTTTATTTCACCCCAACTACACTTCGGATTTGACCCAATTTTATGCTGGCCATTTGTTGGGGCCAATTTTGGGCGACTTGATTTAGTGGAACTGCAGCCCCAAAGAATCCAGGACAACCCAGCTATAAATGGTGATTTATAGTGGAATTACCCAGCTATAAATAGTGATTTTCCATAGTTTTTTGTATGATTTTGTATGTTTACCACTCATATATGACGAATGGGTGAAATTACAGGATTTGAACCAAACAACGGAGGCGCATCAACAGAAATGGTGATTTTTCACGAGCCAGTGATCACTCCCTGAATCTCTGATGTTTCCCACCCTGGTCCACGTTGCGAAATTTCGCAGGGATAGCCCCCTTGGAGGATCATATCACTTCTGGGGTCACTTCACCCATTTACCCTCTGGTAAACTAACATAACTATGGAAAATCACCATTTATAGTGAATTTTCCCATGAATAGCATGGTGTTCTGTTAAATTACCAGAGGGTAGATCTTCAAGAATGCTTCCCCTTGGGAAATTTTGGGAATATGGATACAGCCATATCACAGCCATATCTCCAAACTCTTCCCTCCGAATCCAGATGGTTGCCATTCCCACATCACCAAAAAAAACCATCGGCCAAGATGCTCTCGATCTTCATTCAACATGTCCACATCCTTGGTGGAAATCCACCGGATTCCCAACAACATCTCTGGTTGCTGGTTGACCTACCCCTCTGAAAAATGATGGAGTTTGTCAGTTGGGAAAATATGGGAAAATATATTCCCGATATTTATGAAAAAAAAAAAAATGTTCCAAACCACCAAGCAGATCTCTATGCTTGAGAAACCCTTAGTAGCTCCTTGGCTGAGAATATGGATACCCCAAAATCACTCCTCAGCTCCTTAGCTCCCTCGGTTCACCAAATCAATCATCCTTAGCGTCCCAATCATCAATGGCCAGGCAGACGTTGGTCCGCCCCTCCAGCAACCCCGTGCGGATCTTCACGTGCATCTGGTGGTTGCCCACATGCGAATTCTCCACCGTTGGCCCCAGACTCGGGCTGTTCTGGACCGCCGCCTGGTTGGAGGTCTGTTTTTCGCCGTTTTGGGGGAAGTGAGTCGTCAAGAGATGGGGGAAAAATGCTGCAGTTGCCCTTGGGAAAACTGGGATAGATGTGGAAAACTCCAGGAGGAAAACCAGTTCGGTGGCTTTTTGAGATCTGTCTGAGGTCTGGAGTAGGGAACATCCCACCATTTGATTTTGTGGTTCCGAGGGGGCCTTCCACAACCCAACCGCGAAGAGGAGGAGATCATGTGTGAAGCAATGAGGTAAACCCAACAATAAACAATCCCCAACTAGGGTTTATGATTGGGTACCCTCTGGTCATTTAACATAACTATGGAAAATCACAATTTTTAATAAGAAAATCCACGAACTAAATGGCCATGTTCAATAGCTTTTTGTATGTTTACCAGAGGGTATACCCCTTGAAATGGTTTATGATTAAAAAGGAAGCCCTGGTTCTGGATCGTTACTGGAATGGTTTATGGCAAAAAACCTGGTCCTTGATGAAACCAACGGTCGGGTGGTGATTGTATGCCCTGGATTCATGGGACTCTCTCTCTCTCCCTCTTGGCTAAGTGGATGATTGACATGGTTGCGGAGTGACTATACATATGTTTAAATGTAGCAGATTTGATTTGTTTTGCTCGAAGTTTGTGAAGATCCATTTACTGTCTTGATTTTTGCAAGACCCTTCCAAAGACACAATTTACCCTCTGGTAAACTAACATAGCTATTTAAAATGGCCATAGAAATTGAAATCGTGAGTTTTCCCATTAAAAATGGTGATTTTCCATCGTTTTTTGTATGTTTACCAGAGGGTAGACACATGTCAAAAATAATGCCATTGATTCGAAGCAACTAACCATAAGCCATTGGCGTTGTGAACAGAATTGTCCCAGGTTGTGGACCAAGAAATGGCAAAGACATGCTTCCTCTCTGGTTCTCCCTACCGTGAAATGTAGCTTTGCTTCAAATCCCCTATTTTCAAGTGACTCTCTGGCCATGCACATACCCTCTGGTAATTTAACATAGCTATGGAAAATCACCATTTTTGATGGGAAAATCCACTATAAATGGCCGTGTCAATAGCTTTTTGTATGTTTACCAGAGGGTAATCATGCTAGGATTATAAATCACCACTTTTTGTGGCTGAATATCCACTACTTTTGGTTGATATCTCGAATGTTTCATGCTTTCCGCAATGTTTCACCTGGTGTTGTTAGTTGATATCCCCACATTTGTAGCGGAAAAAAATGCCCCACGCTTTGTGGCTGAAAAAAATCCCATGTTTGGCCTAACATCCACCCATACAGTTCAATCCCAGGCCATTTTCTTCTCCCATTCAGTGCCGAACCTTCAAAACATTTCCGGCCCATTCGGAGCGAATGCCCTGGGCCTTCAAAAACATTCAGAGCTTGTTGTGGAAAACACATCTGAACCAAACGAAAATAATGCTGTCTGAACCAGAAATTGGAATTTCAGTGCCAGAAATTGGAGATTTGACAAACAACGACATGAGAGGAAAAAATAAGTTGTGGGCGGCAAGAATGGAAATTTAGCGATGTTCAGACAAGTAAAGATTGGGAATTGGGAGCCAGGCTCAATCTTGAGGGTAAAAAATCCAACAAGACAGACAAAAACAGATTGGATTCGCAAGTGGAACAGTACCAGCAATGCATAGTTGAAATTGTCCTCCTCCCGCTTAGTATTAATCCCAGCGTTTTTGTTGGATATATATGATATATGATATCTCCCAAAAAAAAAACATTTTGCTGGGCTAACTATATCCTATATGCCAATCCCATCTAATCCCCCCAGAAAATTGACGGGTGAAATCCCTTTATATATATAATATGATATAATATAATAGAATAGAATATCATATAATATAATATAATATAACATAATATAACATAATATATATATATATCCCCCTTATATATTTCTACAGCTTATACATGCGCTAATCCCCCCAGGGTTTTTCATCTCCACATCCGCCTGGCCATTCATCACGCTGATGGTGGCAGCCCAGGAGGCCCCCGCGAAATGAATCCCCGGGTGCCGTCGCATCTGCGCCTGGCGAACGGTGACGGACATGGGGAGTTCATGGAAAGGATGGGATAATCTATGGATAATCTATGGATAATCTATAATCAGAAACATGGGAAATTTCTTGGTTTCAAACAAGCATCAAAACATGGAAATGATGGAAATGATATGTCGATATGATGCATCAAATATGTGGATTCTGAGTCGGCCAAAAGGCCAAAACTTTTGTGGGGACTCCATCCACAAATGATGAAAACTGCACGGGGATTTCATGGGAATATCGGGGATGCAATGGGATATGATGGGATAGAATCCAGCAATGAAAACCCAAGAAACAGCCAGGGGTTCTCAATCCGTGGTCGACATTGACCCAGGATTACCAGATTTCAACGCTGAAAAAACAGCCAGAAGCGGAAGTGAAGGGCCCCGAAATCATCTCCGCGTTTGAGGTACAAGGGCTGAAAATGCCAGAGGTTATGGAGAGTTTCACGTTGGTACACCCTTACCGGCTTACCGATGCAGAGTTGAAAATTCAAGCCGAAACTCCAGGGATGAACATCCTTTGAACTACCACCTATTTTGATGTGACAGGGGATTCCATTGGTTTTGACCATCCAACTACAGAAAATGGCCAGCAGGCACATCACATTCACCAGGGCACCTCGCTACTCTCGACCCAACACGTGGTGCAGTAGCCCAAATGTTCACCTGCCGAGACTGCGCAGATCAAAAGTACTCGCAGTATATGCAGTTCTTTTAATCTATATACTTATTGATTGATTTATATGCGATCGAACATCTAAGATCTTGTAGATACATATATACATATATAGTACATATAGTATGTATGTATAGTATAGATATATGTGTATATATATATATACATGTATATACGATAGATGTACCTGTTTCTCCACTGGGATTGTGTATTCATAGCACCAACTTCCTCAAAAACGGCCAGGTGGCATTCCAAAAATTGGAAGGGCCAGCCCAAGGCGTTGTATCCTGGGCATTGCCACCCACTCATCACGGATTGGTTTTTCTTTGGATTGATTTAACCACTTCGTCCACAAAAAGTCATGAATACTGCTTGATTTCATGGTCAAGAAGTGCTTGATTGCTATTGTTCATGAATGGAGATAGCTATATATATATATAGCTGCTATATATATATAATGGTGGTTTAAAAAAAAATGGTATATATTGGGTTGGATAAGAATGAATTATGGGTAAACAAAGTGACTATGGTGGATTTCTTAAGTCATGGGCACCACCATCCAAGCTGTTGATCAATAATCCATGGTTTGTAAAGCTGGTCTCTGGTGTGGTTTCTATCAGTGGAACCAAAAAAAACTGTAATGGTTTCTATAGACTACCAAATAAGAGACTATTGATAGGAACCATAATAGAAACCATTGATAGAAACCATTGATAGGAACCATAATAGACTATTGTTGGTTTCTATCAATGGTTTCTATCATAGTTTCTATAATAAGTGTTCTTTAATTACTGGAAACTCCCCAGTAATTAGAACCACAGAGATTGGGAAAAAACTCTTCCAGTTGGGTATGGTTGAAATCCCAGCCATTTTTCCTGTCATTGAGGACAGTTCGGATGTTTTAGGTTTACCGTTCCATCAACTCCCTGAAGATGGAGCAAAAATGGAGCAAGTCGGAACCAATGTTCGAACATCACAGGTCTAATGCTTCTGGAATTGAAAAAAAAAAACAGTTCTTTACCCACCAAAAATGCCCCATTTTTTTTGGGATAGTTTCATCACCAAAGTATTGTCAGAATCCGAGACGGAAGGCCGAAGCTCCACCGCAGCAAGACGTTGTACCAGAACCCTCCGCAAGGACCCCTGGCGTTGACTGTGCGTTGAAGTAGAACTCCACTTGTCAATGATAGTAAGCCCCAAGGTTCGACAGAAAAGGTGAACCATTTCTGGAAAATTTTTGTTAGCGTTGGATTTTACTGTTCTATCTTTGTTGGGAATTCCTATTACTACAATCGAAATTTGAGTATGGGTGTGCTATGGTCTGTTCTTTGGCGTTCAACTGCAGACGTGATTCTGGGATTAAACGGATTAAACCACCAAAACAACCGTGAAATCACCATCAAACATTAGCATGTTTAAAACAGCAAAACCGTGAATCAACTATATTTAGAATTGTAATTTGATCAGCAAAAATGAACCATGATGATTTAAGCGGATGTCTTAGATCCATTCCGAAAAAAAGTCTGCCGAAAACGGCCCAAGGGCCTGGTACGGGGCACTTGAATTGGAAGGGATCGGTGTCACCAAAGATCTTCTCATAGGTTGACATACCTTTGCTGACTTGGACGCTGACCGTTGTCATAGTCCGCTCTATGAGTAGATACGGAAATCATTATGTTTGCGCTCTCATGCATCAGAATTTCCAGTCAGACTCACCAATCATGCCCGCCACTTACTATCATGGATGATCACTGAAATCTCACAGCCAGCAGGTTGCAGGCGTTCCATCACCTGCTTTATGACCTGCATGCATCTAGCCTTGCCAAGCTTCGTTGGTACCTAGTACCTAGTGGACCAAATTTCTCGACCCTTGCCGACCCCCCAGGCTTTTCTCAAAGAATCAGAGGTCACAAGAGGGAAAACCAAGGAAAACTAAACTGAGGGCCAGAGACATCTAGAGGCCTAAGTTGTTAGGAACTGATCTTCAGTTGACCAGGGACATGTTTTTTCATCCCAAGCGTGTTGTTGGTTGCATCATGATAGAGTTGCCGTCCCCAACACCCAGCCATTGATTGTGACAATTCTTGTTAGTCATGACCCTGGCATTTCAGCCACCAAAAATGGAGAGGTCTACGGCTGGTTGAGGATCTACACTGATCCTGGTTGTTTGTTCATCCCCGGCTAAAAATGTGAAATGTTGACAGGCATGTGTGGTCTTTGCACTCGATAATGTGGATACCACTCATTTTACAGAATTGGTATTACCCACTTCTGTTGGTGAATAATATCCTTCAAACTTCCGAACTCTTGATGAAATACCCATATCCAACAAGAATGGATTTTGTCCCAGTTTCAAAAGCACCAAAGATCCTTCAAATGTCCACTTTTGTGGGTTGAATATACCCACTATGCATACCCATTCCTGTTGGAAAATAAGTTGATCTGAAAATAACGTACCCCGAAATCCACAGCTTCATCATGACTTTCCTCTTAAAAATTGAGGCTTAAATCCCCCATTGACAAAGTCACAACGCCGGGCGACTCAACTGGAAAATGCTAAAGTCCTTGGTGACGCCCTTTACAGCTGTCGAGTCCGACGCAGTTTTAGAAAGCGTTGTGGGGACGTGTTCAGAGCGCCGCAGCAGGGGAACAGCATACAGCAACGAAACCTGAAGCGTTTTTTGCGCCGATATGGATCCCTTTGGTAAAATATCCTTTTGAATGGGAAAATCAACGAACTAAATGACCATTTGGCTATGTTAGTTTACCAGAGGGTTTTTTCCCGGGTCAACGGGAGAAATGGAAGGAAACAGACCATGATGACATGATTTGATGCTGATTTAAGATATGCAATCGACACGATGATATGCACGGGGGATAAATGGAGATACCCTCTGGTGAACTAACATAGCAATTGAAAATGGCCATTTATAGTGGATTTTCCCATTAAAAATTGGGATTCAAACCAGAATGCACAGAATGAAAAGTGAGATAATTTAATGTAAGCGGATATGAATGATGGGATGTAATCAAATCCGATGCATAACCAACACTTTGATATGGTTTCGTCCAAGAATAGGGCATACCCTAATTTTGGGCTACCCTAGTTTCAAAGTATAGTGAATATGATTGGGACAAGATTTGGCAATCATAGACAATACCAAATTAAGTTCAAAAATCAGAACCTTGCAGGAACCAATAGTAAATTCAACATCTAAACCACCCTTTGGTGGCTTTATGCGCTCTGAAATACTAAATGCCAATTTTTCCTGTCACTTTTGGTTGTGTCATCTTGTGTCATTGTTGTTGGTGATTCTATCCTTATTTTGAAAGGGTCAAAACAATATGTTCTGGGTGGTGACATGATTTTTTCCGTTGCTCAGCTAGAATTATGTTCACCATTTTGGTTTTAGGGATGGTCAACCCATTTGTGTTGCAATGTGCATGGGAAGACTGCACTAATCACTAATTTTCGTTCCATCGACACCTTCTGAGGCAGGCGAACCCCAATTGAGAAAGGGTAAACACCAGGAAATCATCCCCAACTGTTTCAAACATATTTAAAACAAACACACAATAGATCCGGCTTTGTCTGAAAACCACGTACCATAAGATTTGATGGTGCCCCTTTTGCCGCTTTCCACGGAAACCAGGGATTGGTTCATACAGATCATCATCACTGCACTAAAAGTTTTTGGGGATGCAGTGGGGATTAGCAACCCATACAACTAGGGTTTTTTTCACCACTACCTGGAACTGCCCAAGGACAGTCCCCTATCTTTTTGTTGGTTCCCCCATGAAACGTTGGGTTTCTGTGTAGTTTTTTCTGCGCATGTCGCACCAAGCAACGCCTAGGAGTGCAGAAAGCACTGGACGAAAGATTTGCCACCGCCATCTCCGTTCAGTGAAACTCCTGCACCAGGCCCGAGATCTGTAGTGGGATCGCTGGCAACATGAACACTGACGATACATGGGGATCCTTCCCATCCAGAAATCTGTTTTGTTTTGCAACAAAACAAACCATAAGGCGTCATTATATGTTTCCTCCATAAACATCACCTAGCCTAAATTGTTTGGGGTGGTTTAAGGAGCATTGAAACAGCAAATCAAAATTCTAAAAACTAGGTCAATATAAAGATCCCTGCAAAAAAAATCAAAATGGCAACAAAACGCTTCAAAAATGGATCGTTGTGCAGCTGTGCGCCAATCTGAAAAAAAAAATGGGGAAACTGAACCAGCTGAACTCCTGTCGTCGCACCACGACATATGCGTTCCATCTTGTAACTGACCTTCTTCATCCGGTTGATTCAGATTTTGATAGTAGAATGGTGGCATGGCGACATAGGTTGCCCGGGCTGCCCCGCTGGGCAGCTGGGAGCCAAAACACACAAGCAACTTTGGGATGTTGATATCAACGCGGGAAGAAATCCAGCGAAGTTTCCCTGGCTCTACCCTCAAACAACTGCAGGCTGCGAATCACAAAAAAAAAAAAAAACGGCACAAACGCGACCGTCAAACGATGTTTTCCACGCAGGTCTAAGCCACAAAGACTCGCCTTCTCGGAATCATGCCTCGGATGACTTGGAACTTGTGAATTTGCAAACACTGAGCAGAAAGGGTCCACTTTTTTTGTGCGTTCACGCAATGGTTTCCGTTGCTTCAGTTTCCCAAAAGCTCTTATTTACAGTAGATGTTCAACACAAGAATCAAGGCTGCCGCAAAGGTGCACGTTTCTTTTTAGGCGTGGTGCATAGCTTGGGTCTGATTTGTACACAACAAATAGAACCAGCGGGTCCTAAGCACAGCTAGACCTACAAACACAAACCCCCCAAAACGACTCCAATCAACAACCCCAACACCAGGGTATGTTGGGGTCTACAAAAAGAGTTGGGGAGTTCAAACAGCACCACCTCCAAGACCACAAAACGGTGGAGCATGGGGCTGGTGGTGGGAAAGAAAGCGAACACACGAAACTTGAAGCAAGAATGGCCACGGACCACACATGAAGTTTCCGGCTCCTATGCATGAACGCATATGTACAAGTACATGACACGTTCACGCAATGGTTTCCGTTGCTTCAGTTTCCCAAAAGCTCTCATTTACAGCAGATGTTCAACACAAGATTCAAGGCTGCCGCAAAGGTGCACGTTTCTCTTTAGGCGTGGTGCATAGTTTGGGTCTGATCTGTACACAACAAATAGAACCAGCGGGTCCTAAGCACAGCTAGACCTACAAACACAAACCCCCCCCAAAAAGACTCCGATCAACAACCCTAACACCAGGGTATGTTGGGGTCTGCAAAAAGAGGTGGGGAGTTCAAACAGCACCAAACCATACCAAACCTATCGACAATCGACCAGCCGGAGTTGGAACTCCCCAAAAACTAATCGATGGCGGCACCCAGTCAGCGGACTGCAACAACCCTTTTTCTCGCAGATGAACATCGAAATGTGACGCCCACTTTCGACCGGCCTGTGTGATTTCAATGCCGGATGATCTCAGAAGGCCCGTCCAAGGGACTGTCATCTGTGCAGCCAAATCCAGTGGTGTGGATAGAGGTTCCTTAAACCGACTCAGTTCGTCAGCCAAAATGTTCAAACGACCAGGGATGTGGGTAATGCGTGGAAATATTTGATATCGCCGCATGAACTTGAAATATGGTGTCAACACTGCTGCAAGGACAGGGGTCATAGTGAGACCTTTCGCAGAGGCAGCGTCTGCTGCACTGTTGTCCGTAGCCTGTTGGCACGCGATTGGCCCACGAGTTCGAGGAAGATGAGCTTCTTCAATGCAGAAGGATAATGCGAACTGGGCAAGAAGTTCCCATGCTGCTATATGCTTCTGCATGTCATCACCCAGTCCTGGCCAAAGTGTCTGCGCTTCGTCTACTGAGATGCGGAATTGGAACCAGACTGATGAACCATCTGGGAAGATGGCTGCACCATCCAGACCTGCCATAGAAGTCGAGGCCATTGCGTCCGCCGTCGCTGGGACTTGAATCCATGTCGGAGCACACATCTACAAGGAAAATGGCGTAGAAACCAAGAGTTGCAGCCAAACTTGAAGTGTCTCCGACGCTTCATCATCCAGTTTTTGTTGTGGTGATGTGGGATCAAGGATCCCCAACCAAACACGACGGGACTTGATGTGCAATGATTCGACATCTGCCAGAGTTTTCACGTGAGAGTTGGCCACCCGACACAGTGTAACTCCTGGGCGAAGCGACTGATGTTTGTGGGTGAGTGACGAGCGCAGCTGCAAGTGTTCATCCAGTTTTGTGATCATGGCCTGGAAAGTGGTATGGTCCATGCCCACCATTGTGGTGGGGATGCGATGCAATGCCTTATAAAACAGCGGTATAAGCAATGGTCGCAGGTAATGCCAGGCGGATGTTAGCCACAAAAGCCGACCGACCAGAGATTGCAAATCCCGCTGTGTTAGGCGACAGGAGGCCTGAATCGTCCGGATCTGGTCAATGATCTTAGTCAGCTTCTCAGGTGGCACGGCCACTGTCCACGAGGAGACTGATATTCTCCATCCAATCCAATCGATGGTGTCTGCAAGGGCTGCTTTGTGCCATGACATAGGTACACCCAGGATGAGCAGAAGGATGACGATCAACGATGCCCAAAGTGGTGATGATGTCTTGTCCAGCCAAGCAAGGAGATCATCCACATACTGCCAACGAGCATGGCCATGTGCCAGGAGGGAGTGACAAGAGCGCACCATGATGCCGCCAGGCGCTCCCAATACCAGCCGCTTGCACGGGCTCCAAAATTCAATGTGACGCATCTGTAGAGCTCCCCATTGGCGTGGAAACACAACAGGCCTTTTTTTTCTCGGGTGCGGCCGATAACGCTCAACGGCTCGGTCCTTACAGCAAGTAAAAGACATAGTAACTACGCCAGAGACACATTCAGATCTCTGTAAAGGCACAGGACACAATAACAACAAGGCGTAAGGAAGAAGTGCACATCCCCCGGTCAGATATGCGTATCTTCCCACGCAGGCCAACGAAACAAACAAAACAAACCAACAAGACACGCAAAAAGGCGCCGCAGCCCAAAGACAAACACCCACAAACAGCCACCATCATGACCTCAGGTGGGGATTTCAACCCACCAATGCAAAAAGCAAAAAACATGCAAAAACTAATTAAGAAATTAACCAGCGAATTCAGAAAAGGGATAACGAGAACAAAAGTAGAAATCTAAGCAGCACTGTACATCTACGCAGGGCCCAAAACGCCCAGAGTCGTCTCAGTAGTTCTTGTCCAAGTCATCCCACTCAGAGTGTAAACGAATTCTCACTATAGCCAAGCCTGAAAAGAGCCAAAGCGAGAGGCCGATCCAACGTGACAAATAAGGCAAAGTAGATCCGCAGCCCCCCAAAGGGGGCAAGGCCAAAAGGGGCCAGAGAAACTTGCAAATGTATTGGCAGCAAAGGGAGACAACTTCGTATCCCATTCCTCCAGAGCTGCTCACAATGGACAAAAATGGCCAGACTAATGTGTACCAGGGTCCGGTCCTTCCTGCGGGGTGTATCCTGGGTCGTAGCACTGACAGCGAAGGTAAATTGACAGGCGATGACAAAGTGGTTGGTCTTGCCGAGAAAGACGGACCGTGAAGGCGTTGCCAACAAAGGCAACGCGGTAGAGTGTAACATACTCCGCCAAACATACCAGCACCATCATGGTAGTAGCACCCTCTCTGTAGCATGAAAAGGGTTTGTGGCACACGCGATCAAAATTAACCGCAACGTCCATCAGTCAAGTGATGAGCTTCGCATCAGGAAGATGACTGAGCACATACCATGGAGCACCGCAAATTACAGATGTTGCAAGCATCAGTGAAAATGACTTGCTTCCGGCAATTGAGAAGTGGTGGCAGAGGAGCCAGACCAAGACCTAAATCAATACATACGGCACGCAGGCTTTGCTGCAGCACGGACGCACTGAGAGATACACTACCGGGCAAGGCACTGGACAGCTGCATGTAGCAGTGGCCGGGGCCTCGCCCTGCAGGATCAGCGTCAGGTCATAGCACGGGCCGGCTACGGTTGCACCCCAATCAGCCAGCACCCAACCCCACAGCAAGCACAAAAAGTGATCGCACCTAAGTGAAAGCGAACAAAAACGACAAAGAATTAGCACACTCCAAGTCAGCGGACGAGCCTACCTGACTGAAATCAGTGTAAGAGCGTCGGCAGATCAAATGAGTGCGTGGCGCTGCTCCAAGCGGAGACCTTAGTGAAGTTACCAAAGACGCTCGCCTCAGCAATGATGCTTTTTCAGGCCGCCAAGTCCTTAGTCACTGCCACAGAAGGGGCAGGGCAGCGCAGTAGAGCAGCTACGATATACTTGGTAAAGGGAAACTGGCCCTATCACTAAAGGAGTCACAAAGAAATGGCATGTCCAGAGGAAGTGACCCCAAAGGGATAGGGACTATCCTATCCTAGTTGATTTGGTACCTTAGCTGCCTGTTGAGCTAGGCTAAAAGATGAGAAGGCAAAGGGGTTGAGGAGGATTTAGCGGCAGTCCAAAGACCAGGGTCAGGGGGGGGCAGGTCACAAGATGCATACAATGCAGGACCATCTCTGTCGAGTCAAGAGGAGTAGGAACCAGGGCACTCCATATGGTGTAGAGGGAGATCCCCACACAGGGCCTGAGCCTTTGGTGCCATCAAGCACCTTACTCCACGACCCACGATGTGGAGGGGGGAGTGGACAAGGAAACAAGGTACGAAGGACTTGGGACAGGGTACCAAGCAGACTGCCACGCAAGTGTCGCGCTGATGCAACTCATTCTTTGGTGAGACAGGAATCACAAATCCGCAAAGGATGGTACAAACCCGACCCATCCAGGATCAGGAATGCACCACAACTCAATCTGTCCCCATGCGCGTGAAAAACAATGAAACGCCCCCACCCCCTTCTTCGAAGGGTTGCTTCAAGGGGGAGCTTAAGGGGGGGCTTGAAGGGAGGCTTAAGGGGTCATGAAGGGTGCCCTCCCCCCTTCCTTGAAGGGTGGATGCCCTTAAGAGAGGCTTAAGGGGGAGCTTCAGGGGGAGCTTAAGGGGGTGTTAAGGGGGCGCTTAAGCGGGAGCTTAAGGGGAGCTCAAGGGGAAGCTTCAAGGGGGGCTTCAAGCAAGGCTTCAAGGACGGCTTCAAGGGCGGCTTCAAGGGCGGCTTCAAGGGGTAGCTTCAAAGGGTAGCTTCAAGGACTAATACTACTGCTACTGCTACTGCTACTGCTACTGCTGCTGCTACTACTACTACTACTACTACTCCTGCTGCTACTACTACTACTACAACAACTACAACAACTACAACAACAACAACTACTACTACTACTACTACAACTATACTACTACTACTACTACTACTACTACTACTACTACTACTACTACTACTACTACTACT